GCAGTGGGGCTCCCAGTGGGACTTGCCGTGGGGGTAGCCGTAGGGCTGGCAGTGGGACTTGCCGTGGGGGTAGCCGTAGGGCTGGCAGTGGGGTTTGCAGTGGGGGTAGCCGTAGGAGTAGCCGTAGGGCTGGCAGTGGGGGTAGCCGTAGGGCTGGCAGTGGGGCTGGCGGTCGGGCTAGCCGTAGGAGTAGCCGTGGGAGTAGCCGTGGGAGCAGCCGTAGGAGTACCTGGGGGGCTACCAGAAGGCTGGGCTGAAGGAACCGCTGTGGGGACAGGAGTCGCAGGAATAATCACCTCGTACACATCATACGCCGGGTCGAATATAAAAGGAGTACAAGTACTCAGGCAGCAGAAGCACTCGCTAGTCACCCTATTCCAGTTAAAGAAGAAAGGTGAGGAGACATTCGCGTTCAGCGAGCAGTATTCGTAACATGCTTCCGTTGTGCCGATCGCCTGTAATTGACGGTTGGCAACGTGAGTTTTGCTCGGTCCAGGGTGCATGGACAGACGGCGCTCCGAGAAGGGCGCCAGTACGCCTCCTTGTGAGAACCGTTGTCCTTCGCCAAATAGCACAAAAGGTTGCGTGGGATTGACAGTAGGAGCTGGCGTCGGCGCACATGTCACCGATCGTTTGGATTTTCCGTACCGCACACGCAGGACCTCAGGACTAGCTAGCGGCGTCTCACAGAAAGTCGCCGTCGCATTGGCAAGGTAAGCAAGCCCAGTAATGACAAGCATCTCGGGCGCACACTCGTCAACGACGACCTTAGCTCGAAATACACGCTTTCCCCCTTTGGACTTGGTAAAATCCATGCCCAGCCAAAATATGGCCGTCGATCCGTCCAAGTTCTGTACGATCTCTGGGCTTGCAATGCGCTTCGAAGCTGGGCGTGCGACCGTCCGCAAAACACTCAGTCCGCTAGGCAAGTCCATTTTGAAAGCCAAGTCATCGACAGGATCCTTAGTGCGAAGACGGACTGTGATTGTAGCTTTACCTTTACCAGCCAAGACCCCGCGCTTCGAGTTTGGGCGTGTCTTACCGGACAAAAGCACGGTCGGACATTGTTGAGCGGTCGCAGTCAGGATCAGGGCCAGGCCCAGCAATGATAGATACAGAGAAGATAAAGATAGCCGCATCTGTCGAAGCCTTGGTCAATCTGCTATAGAGGATGAAGACGAGGTACGTATTCTTGGTGAGGTCCTGACACGCAAGTTGTACCTCACATTGTATGAGGACAGTCTTATCTGCTCAAGCGAAGATTATACTTCTTCATTCATCAAGCGAGATTAGCTGTTCGAGTAATATCGAGTTGTCTACATGGGCTAACATGGACTCATACATCCTACGAAGACTTTTGTCATTCCACGTGCCCAACCTTGGAAACGTAAATCAAGCGGTCTTTATAAGAATTGATCGATTGTTAGCTCATGTAGTTATCTTTCTCTTGTGGCCTATTATTTTCTCAGTAAGGCTTACGTTATGGACCGTTTGAGTCTATCGATTGATTGAAAATCCTCGCTTTCGCAGATGTCAAGAGATTCGAAGAGGAGGAGATTCGAAGACGAAGAGTGAGAACATGCAAAGACATCTGACTGCGAGATTTACCACCTCAAATCCAACAACACACGTTTCGATACACGTGCTGAGGTGTACCACAGGTACGTGTCAATGAATGCACATCTACCAGACTCAATGTAGAGAGGCACCATATGGTGGCCCATGACTGAAAAGTAACGGAAACTCAAGTAACGGAACAAAAAAAGTGAAAAAAGCCTTCTCGCTGATCTACACGCTCTCTACCTTAAGATTCAGAAGTCCTCCAAATTTTCAGGCTTCGGCCGCGCACACCCAACATCTTGTGCATCAGTATGCTTTAGCGTTGCAATATATAGCCCATGTCATTTTATGTGACGGGATAGAATATAAGGACAACGGCGAATTAAAAAAACGAGCGTAGACGTAGCATGGTCCCGGGTTTTTACATCTCTCGCTTTCACTTACGCCTGACCCGTGGCGCGGTCTTAGGTATTTTTTCAACGTTTCAGCAAGTACTGCTTTATAGGAGGAGATCAAGACATTGTGCTTTGTCATTAACTCTGACTCCATCGAGTGTTTTGTCCTGTTCCTCATTCCCGGCCATTTCACAGACAAACGTCGAAGTATGGAAAAAATGAAAAAGTATGGATCGGAGTATTTCGTCTTTTAAGGATAAAGTGATGTGTATCCTCTGATCATATAAAATGCAATATAGGTGGCTTTGTCAGAACCTACTCTTTGTGACGTTTCCGTGCAAGTCAGGACATCCACCATCTTCTTATCTGCTTCAAAGCTTTCATTCAGCCATTAGTATGCTCTTCAGGCAAGTAAGCCTGTGAAGGAAAGTTAATTTACTATTTCTACACATTCGATAGACTTAAGTGAGCTCTCTTGTCCCACCTATTCTAGTGAGATCATCTCTCTACAGTCGGAAGGTGCAGTTCGTGGTGGGACTCGAGAGCATCTCTTAGGCCCGGCAGTATGCGGAGTCAGTGATGGAAGAGTCTCTCATCTACATTGCTCTCATTGAAATCATATCGGAAGCCGAAAGCGTCCATCCAAGAGTCAAAATGAAAAATATGACGACTTAGACCAAAGTTGGATAGTTATTGCTGTCCAGGGCCGAGGGTGTGGGACCGGAGAGGGCTCCAGGACGTCTTTTTGTGCATAAACTTGATCTTGATTAAACTCCGACGGGCAGCAGTCATCTTACGGTAGCTAATATGGTGCGATTTACCACCGAAAAAATAATTACAGTCCGATAATGCAATCACTAATCGTCAAAGTAAGACTTTCCTTGGGCAGCGAGGCTTTGAGTCGCCTCCTTCGCGAGAAGCTTTCTGACTTTGCCTTAGGTCTCGGTTGAAATTACATTACGCAGAATAAGACGTTTAAAATTAAGTTATGAAATAAATGAAGGCTATCAAAGTCATTTCCTAGTTGTCAGAGGCCAGGTGTAACACGAAGAGGGGAGTGATTGAGACTCAGGTTTAGCCACTCCTCATGCTCGTGTACCTTGCCCATGCGCTTGTGCAAGTCATGATTCCCGTACGTTCACGTCATTTCTAGTATGTTTATAGAAGCTGGATCATCGTTAATGACTGAAAACGTCCTCAACAAGTTAAAGTGCCAATTATGTAAAGGTCCTTCACGCTTTAAAGAGAAAGTTCGCGCCATTTCTACAAGCTTCACCTTCATTTCCACCGAAAATCTCGTCCTGGTGACAGGCGAAAAAGTAATGAGAAAATATGAACACTAGAATATACTTCGAATTTCGACAGCTCGCACGCAGTTGAATATTGTGCGAGTCTTTACGATCACGTAGAATTATGTAAAGGGTTTTGAGCAGCCCTTCAGTCTTCAACCACCTGCCCTCAGTCGTCGAAGGCATGGGAAAGTACTTTCTAGTATCGAAATTAACAATTGGCAAGAAATCGCCTAACCGATGCATACCCATCAATCATCAATAATGGACTGGCACTTGGCAATTGTTTCAGCTTTTCAAAACTTTCTTCATGTTGTTTTCCAAGAGAACGCTTCTTCCTCTCGAGACAGATTTCACAACACAAATTGGGGAACTTGAGTCACTCATCAGCTTGCTTCATATCATATCAATCCTCCTGCCGTAGCTTACTCACCACAGACTGAAAGGGGACTTCGACTTCCTATGCGTGTCGTCGAGCTTCATGCTTTGACGACTGTAGCACTGCTTTTCGCGTTGTTGGCGAGAGGGACGGAAGGTATGCCGGTTTAAGCCTCAAAGGATATTTTTTATACTTGTCTGGTACTTCGAAGTGCACATACCTGTGTAGATACTTAACATTTTTACATCGTACGCATGCAGGGGGAGCGGTCACATATGCCAATCACGGGGAGCCTGCCCTGCAGGCGCATTTCAGTGATTTCTACGAGATAATGACTCCCGAGGACTACAGGTAACATGAATCAGCTTAATGATGATAGGAGTGAGATTTTGTGAAGCTGAAGCTGTGAATGGGTCTTCAGCGGAGTAAAAGTATTTTGTGTTTTTGACAAGAGACAACGCTACACTACACTACATCCTCTCCGTTCCCCCTACCTCCTTTCCTCTCTTCTTCCCTTCTTCCTTTCCTCTTCCATTCCCTCCGTTTTTATTCCCTCGTTCTTCTTTCATTCCCTTATTTTGTTACTTCTACCTCTTACCCCCTCTCTTTTATCCCGTCGTTCAGAATCTACCAGGACCGCCTCCATGAGATCATCGATTGGGGCCTACGCAACACCCGTCAGCAAGACCTTCGTAAAGGTTTCCTCCAGGGGGTCGCAGAGGATTGGCGATTCGTGCCCACGCCCCTGCGCCAGGGTCTCAAGCGCCGGCACAAGGATTTCGGGCCCCTCCAGGAGCGGCGCCGGGTGACCTTGGATGAGCGAAATCGGCAGATGCGGGATAGGATCGATCGGGGTGTGGCAAAGAAAGGCTACCTAGTCGCCTACTACATGTTCAATCACGACTGCAATGCCATGGGGCCTGCAGAAGACAGGGAGCATTCCCTTTTCTTCCAGCCGCTGCCGCGTCTTCGCATGGGCTGGCCGCATTCGTCCCGGCAAGTCCAGCATTATCTGGTCGCTCTGCGTCAAAGAAAATTTAATCACATGTACGTTGGGGTCACCCAGGAATTCGCGCCGTACGGGGAAAGAGAAGTAGAGGATTGGCTTCGACTGAAAGGCTACGAAGGATTCAAGGTAAAGACCCAGCGAGTCCTCCTAGGCAAAGGACCCGAGACGTACGCGTTAGCGAAGGATAAGATAGTGAACTGGTCGTGGGGGGAGGAGGTGAAATGGGTGCGATTTTCGGAAGGGGAACATGGGATCAACGTGGTGAGTCAGATCCGGACCTACGGTTTGTTGTGGACGATGAATCCGTTGCGGAAGGTTCTCTGCCACGAAAAGCCATGGGGCAAACGGGGCGGGGCGGTGGCGGCGGTGGCGGTGAGCACGCTGCGAGGACACTTACTGGAAGGGGAGGAGAGGTTTTGCGTCTGGTTCGAAGGAGGAAGACAGGGAGACGTGTGGTTCGACGTGCTTTCCTTCAGTAAGGGCGCTTTCCCATTAGGGCGGTTGTTGATGCCCGTGGTGAGACCGTTACAGAACCGTTTCTTGGTCGACGTTGGAAGAGCAATGCAGAAGCTGGTAGGAGAATCGGTACCAGAAAAAAGCGTGGTGGCGAACAAATCAAAATGGTGGTGGAAATGAGGGATTCGGAAAAGGAAAGGGAAGAGGAGGGGCATGGAGGTGCAGCATTTTGTAGAGGGCGGCCCAGTGTGAGGATGCGTGTGTATATAAGGGTAGGCTTGGGAGGTGGTAGCGCATCACCCCTCCCAGGGTAGCATCTCTGACTATGAATGTGAAGAAAGAGGGATCGAAGATTCTCGAAGAAAACGCGACGCGTCGGAAACGCACGATTGGTCGTCCCCGCCCTCGCTTACGTTGCTGGCCTCACGGGAATTTCCCTGTTTATTCGCTTCCCTGGAATTCAATCTTGCTTTTCCTCCTCGATCGCCCCCTCCCCCCCCTCGTGTATCCTCTTGTCCCTCATTAGGTCGCGTGCCCTGGGGAATAGGGCCCCCTCCCTTTCTTCT